CAAAGATCCCAAAAACAAAAATGCCTTGGTGGAGGGGAAGTGACCTGGCTCTTGGTTTATTAGAGATAGCTGTGCATTGGATGCTTCAGTAATTAAAGCTTAAGTCAGGCACTTACTTTACATAAGAGAAAAGAAACCAACTGTCAGTTTACACTGCCAGAAGGATATGTTCCAGGCTGGGGGAATCGTAAGCCTAAAGGCTCTGGAGCAGGAATGTACTCAGTGCATTTCAGGAACAGGTAGCAAGGAGGTATTGCATTCACATCGCTCAGCTCTCACTCTTTCTGGGTCCTGACTACCATCCTGTCCACATCATCTCAGAGCTACCAAAGCCCTTCCCATCTGAGTCTCCCTAACATTCTTTCACATCTTTCTTTCTCTATCCTCAGTTCTGCCCAAAATTCCTAGTTCTTTCAGTGTTCTTCAAACACATCATCACCTTTCAACTCCATGTCCTTGAAGGTAATCATGCCTCTTTATACATTGCCTTCTCCCACTTGTCTACCAGTAAACTCCTACTCATCCCTCAAGGTCCTCTCTAATGCTTCCCTGGAACAAAAGTCTAAACTTTTCTCCAGAACCTATTTATCTCTCCTTCCTCTGTGCTCTCATATGGTCTCCACACACATTGATTTTTTTTTTTAAGATTTTTAATTTATTTATTCATGAGAGACACAGAGAGAAGGAAGCAGAGACATAGGCAGAGGGAGAAGCAGGCTCCACACAGGGAGACCGATGTGGGACTCAGTCCTGGGACTCCAGGATCATGCCCTAGGCCGAAGGCAGGCACTAAACCGCTGAGTCACCCAGGCGTCCCAACATACACTTTTTTTTTTCTTTTTTTACATACATTGATTTTTAACCTTTACTACGCTCTCCTATAATTGTGTATAATGGTTTTAGTCCTCACTGGACTGTATTTTTCTCTAGGACAGGGATTATGTCTGCTTCTGTCCCTAGGACCTAGCATGTGTCTGGCATTTGCTTGGCACTCAATAAATGTTGATCAAACAGTGGAACAAATGAAGGAATATGAAGCAAATTTCTTAATCTCTCAGTCTTAGTTTTATTATCCTTGAAATGAAAGCAACTTAAACATTCAGCAAGGTTAAATGATGGATAATGAATGTAAGACAAATGTCACCATCATTGACTGAATTGCCCAAGCTCAAAATAGGAAATCACACAAAATTTCCACTTCTCCCATTCCTTTTTTCCCTCCCCCAAGCTAACCAGTCACTGTGGCATGTTGAACCTGGCTGGACCTTGGTAAGAAACTCTAGGTTACAGGAGGATTTCCATTAGGCCAGAGCTGTCAGGAAGCATGGGAGGGAAAGGGTGCTGGAGGTAGGGAGTCTATAAGGAAAAGAAGCAGGAGGACTCATGGGTACAGGGCCACAGGAAGAACAGGTAAGGGATCCAGGAGAAGGGAGACATCAGTCTGAGTCCTGGGGACATAGAAACCACTCAAGTCTGTGCCCTCAAGAATTTCTGGTCTGCTAGGGATACAATAGAATCAATTTGTACAGAACAAGGCTGTAGGGGAGCATCACCTCCTTCCTCATACCCCTTCTTTACTTGGCTTACAGGATACCACCCAGCTTGCCTGCGTTTCTTTTTTTTTTTTTTTAATTTTTATTTATTTATGCTAGTCACAGAGAGAGAGAGAGAGAGGCAGAGACATAGGCAGAGGGAGAAGCAGGCTCCATGCACTGGGAGCCTGACGTGGGATTCGATCCCGGGTCTCCGGGATCGCGCCCTGGGCCAAAGGCAGGCGCTAAACCGCTGCGCCACCCAGGGATCCTTGCCTGCGTTTCTACTTATATTTTTGGACCCCCTCAGTCTGATCTGATGCTTCTCCTAGTTTCCTTAAATGATGAATGTTGAAGGAAACTATTTTCCATCTACACTCATTCCTTTGATGATCTCATATCATCTCATGGCTTTAAATGCCATCTATGTGCTGATAACTCCCAAATTGATATCTGCAGTCTAGATCTCTCCCCTGACCTCAGACTTCTTGCCCCCTGCTCCGCCTGCCCTCTCACCATCTGTACTCTAATGAGCATTTTAAACTCTGCACACACCCAAAAATGAGCTCCAGATAGTTCTCTACACAAAACAACATCTCCCTTGTCTTTCCCATCTCAAGAAATGGCAACACTGGTGTCCCAGTTGTTCAGTTCAAAAATCTTGGCTCCTTTCTTCCTCTGATATTCTACATCCAATCTGTCAGCAAGCTCTCTTGTCCCTACCCTCTAAATATATTCAACATTCAACCACTTTTTATCCCCCACCTCTGGATTATTGTAATAGGCTCCCAGTTGGTCTCCCTGCTTCTGCCACTCTCCCTCCTGAATCTATTCTTCATAGAACAGCCAGAGTTAACTCTGTTAAAATGTAAATCAGATTGTGTGAATCCTCTGCTCAAAACCCTTCACAGGATTCTCAACATGGAGTAGAAGCTAAAGTCATTATTGTGACTTGCAAGGCTGTACTATCTGGCTCCTGCTACTTCTCTGTCCTCATCTGCTGCTCTCACCGTAGTACACTATGCTTCAGCCATTCTAGACCCTTTGCACTTGTTCTCTCTCTGAAATGCTCTTCCCTAAATATCAGAACAGTGCTCGCCACCCCTGCACCCCCGGCTTTTTCTTTAGACCTTTGCTCAAAAGTCACCTTCCTAGTAAGGTTTTCCTTGGCCCCCCTATCTAAAATAAAACCCCTCCCCTCCCTGCTTCTCTGATTTATGTTTTTTTTCTAGATGTTTTTTCTTTTTTTTTTAAAGGATTTTACTAATTTATTCATAAAAGACACACAGAGAACGCCTGAGACATAAGCAGAAGGAGAAGCAGGCCCCCTGCAGGAAGCCTGATGGGAGACTTGATCCCAGGGAGCTTGATGTGAGACTTGATCCCAGGACCCTGGGATCAGGACCTGAGCCAAAGGCAGATGCGCAACCACTGAGCCACCCAGGTGCCCCTCTCCTAGGTATTTACTGCAATCCTGCAATCTCCAAGTGCCCCTCTCCTAGGTTATTTACTGCAATCCTGCAATCCCAATCTTAAAACTGTATTTTGTTTATCTTCTTTGTTGTTTGTCTCTATTAGAATGGAAGCTGCAAGGAGATTGTTGGGGGCATCTGTTTTGTTCCCTATTGTATACCCACTACTTAGACTAGTGACAGGCATATAGTAAGGCACTAAGTACGTACTTGTAGAATGAATGAATGAATGAATGAATGAATGAAAAAGGTGGACATTTCCAAGAGGCAAATTTTACTCTTCACTTTTTAAAAAGATTTTGTTTATTTATTCATGAGAGACACAGAAAGAGAGGCAGAGACACAGGCAGAGGGAGAAGCAGGCTCCATGCAGGGAGCCCAACGTGGGACTCGATCCTGGGACTCTATCCCAGGTCTCCAGGACCAGGTCCTGGGCTGAAGGCGGTGCCAAACCGCTGAGCCACCCGGGGCTGCCCCAAATTTTACTTTTTTTTAATTTATGAAAAACTTCATGACTACCAGAACTGCTTGGAAACACAATCATGTTAACATACACAGGACACTACCACTTAAACATGTAGTCTCACCAAATCCTCACATCAGCCCAGGATAGGAGGAAGGATGCGCAGTTTATGAAGTTTATGGTTGAAGAGGAAACTGAATCCAGACCGGGGTGGGAAAGGGACTTGTTAAAGCTCACACATCTGGTGTGGTCAGGAGCGGAATCAGGGATGATTGCTAGCTCTAGAAGAGGCTGGTGGGTGATGGAGCTTAATGGGGGGGTTGGGTTCGAAGAACTGCCGTTTGACAGAAGGCATGGTCTCTGAAGGGGAGGCTGACTCAGCGGCTACCAGAACAGACTCATCAACAGAGGACTGGGAGAGATGACGAGGCTGACCACTAAGGTATTTAGACCAGTCCCGGAAAGGGCAACTGAATTCCCCAAAAGTGGTGTCCTGAGGCTGACTGGTCACTGAAACCCATACATGAACTCAGATGCAGAGCTGGACGGGCAATCGTAAGAAACCACGGAGCCCATGTGGGTCTGTGGAGCCTGGCTTCTCCACTGGGCTGTGAGGTCTACGGGGGCAGGGACCGTGTTCTAGATTCATCCCCAGCTTCTAGCAGAGCCTGGAGTACAGTGGGACTCCACTATTTCTGCTGAAGTCATACATACATGCACCAACCAAGAAGCTGAGGGTGGGAAAAGACAGACAGAAGGGGCATAATATCGCCCCGCGATTTGGGGGTAGAAGCAAACGAATTTCCCTGGGACGCGCGGCAGGACAAGGAGTTCCAGGGCTAAAGCAGGTAGCTGCTGCCAGCTATTTTCCAGCAGGGCTTGGCAAGCAGACCCTGGCTAGGGACGAATGGGCGGGGTTCGATGGGGGCGGGCAGGCTGGGGAAGCCGAAGGGCGGAGGCTCAAGGAGGGGCCAACGGAGGAGGCAAATTTCCAACCTCAACTACGTGACGGAGGTGTGTAACGTCACATCCGGTGGGGTGGGCGGGAGCGGGAAACAAAAGGAGAGCAAAGGCGCATGCGTTGGTGGTTCCCGGGCTCGGGTGGGCTCTTCCGCTCGGGCAGAGAGAAGTGCTTCCGGGTCGCCGCCGGCTGCCGCCTCCTGGCGCGGTAAGTACGGAAGCCAGGCTGCGGCCTCTGTCTCCTTGCCCCTTCTCGTCTCCCTCTCCCGGAGGAACCCCGTGGTCCTGACCCGGCTTCTCAGGAGCTCCACGTTCAGACTCCTTGCCACATTAAAGAGCTCCAGTTCACTGGCCGCTTCCTCGAGGCTAAGCCCCACCCAGCCGCCCGAGATCCGTCCCTCATTGGTGTCCGTTTCTGTCACCCACCATTCCTCCCAGTTAATTGGCTCCATTCGGGCCCCGCTCCTTTCGCGATTAGCAGCCCTATAAGGGTAAGTGCCTGTTGGAATCCCGCCCCTGCAGTCTTCGTGTTGGTCCACCCCGCGGTCATTATCATAATGAGCAAAGAGTGGGCGGGGGCTTTGCGGCGAGGGGTGGGCTTACGGAGCCTCGGGCTCCGGCCTCTCCTACGACGGGCCGGGAGTGAGGATGGCTTGTGCTGTGCTGGTGACGCGGCCCGGGAAGCTGAGGTTCACGGAAGGGCAGCGGCGGGCCCAGGATCGGCTAAATGAGTTTAGGGCAAAAGCAGAAGTAGACGTCGGTCCATTTCTCCTGCTCATCTCCTCTAGTGCCTGGCCTCGATTTCTTCCCCGCGGAATATGATGCCCCAGCTCACTTGTGACCTAGAGCCAGTCGTTGCCTGTCGCAGGGCCTCCATTTTCCTGTGAGCTGAAAGGTTTTAATTCAAATTCTCTGGGACCTTTCCGGTCCCCCTCAGCTGCTTTTAATCCGTGCCGAATTTACATTGTCCATTCACGTTAGTTCATTCAGCTTTCCATTTACTTACTTACTCATTTACTCATGCCTTTAGAATGTCTTTCTGAACCGTGCTGCACCCCACCCCAGTTTAGCTGGTTCATGAGAGAGGTGGTTAGTGTCCTAAATTTCTGACACTGGGTAAGTATGGATCATCATAGAGGGGCAAAAAGTAGGTCTTAGTGTTTGGAGAAGGTAACGATAGGATCAGTGGAGCCGTGCTGCCTCTGATTTTGTAATGCCAGTCTGCATTCTGGATTCATAGCTCTACATTTGGCTTCCATTCCCCTCCCCGCCTCCCCTTGAACTACTTTACTTCTCCATAAAGTAAATTAATTATCAGAATAAGTATGAGGGTGGTATAATTGTTATTATTCCCCCCATTTTACAGATGAGGAAACTGAGGCTCATAGAGGTTAAGTGACTTGGCCAAGGTCAAACAGCTAGTAAGTGGTGGAGCCAGGACTCAAACCCAGGTCTGTTTGATTCCCACAGAGAAGAGCTATTTCCCTGCTACCTTCTACTCCACCCCATCCCCAAATCAAACTATAACCAAATAAAACTCCAAACCAAACACATGTGACAGCTGGATTCACCTGGCCCTTTACCTCAGTCTAGGAGCCATGTCCACCTTGTTTCCCTCACTCTTCCCCCGTGTGACTGAGACATTGTGGTTTAATCTGGATCGACCCTGTGTGGAGGAGACAGAGCTGCAGCAGCAAGAACAACAGCATCAGGCCTGGGTGAGTAAGGACCTAGCACAGTGGTGGAGCCTCTGGGAGGAGCTTTTTGCCCTGAACTGGGAACAAGCTGGGAGGCAGGAGGCCTAGATTCACATCTTTGTATTACCCTGACTTACTGTGGGCCCATGAGACTTCTGAGCCAGATTGGAGGCCAAGGCTCTTTCCTCTGAAACATAAGAAATAATAATTTTGACTTTATTGAGGTCCTAGTAGGTGCCTTATTCTAGACTGATAGTCTCTCACTTTACCCTCACCATCATCTTAGGAGGAAACTGTGGCCTCCTAAGAGAGTTGACGTAGTTGGATCAAGTTTATAAGTAAGTGGCAGATGATAAGAGACAAAGAGATTGGCTCTTTCTGGCAACTGGAAGGAAGCTTCACCCTTGAGGGGACTTCTTAGGGGCAGAGTAGGCCAGTCTCATGTCCCTGACCTGTCCTGCTCAGGCTCTGACTCTGCTCTCCACCTGATTTGGCTACAGCTCCAGAGTATTGCAGAGAAAGACAACAACCTGGTACCTATTGGCAAGCCGGCCTCAGAGGTGAGTGGTTCCAGCAGGTAGGGCTTGTGTGGAGCCCAGGTGGACTAAAGCTCTGTTCTACTTCTGAAGGTCTTGCCTCTGACCTCAGAGCGGTTGTGGTGTTCAGCTCTGGATGGAGGCTATAAAGAGGGTGTAGAGTGGTGGCCATTGGACCCAGCACTAAGGTCCTATAGAACATGCATCAGCCTGCTAGACTCAAAGGAGCAGAGCAAGGTTGGGGAATGGAGGGTCATGCACTGGCCCCAGAGACTGGCTCCAAGTGGACCTTGAGCTGGTCCAGGCACTCTTATAGGGCCTATAGTCTTTCCCCTGCCTCACCAGCACTATGATGATGAAGAAGAAGAGGATGAAGATGATGACGAGGATAGTGAAGAGGACTCAGAGGATGATGAGGATATGCAGGACATGGATGAGATGAATGACTACAATGAGTCACCAGATGATGGAGAGGTCAATGAGGTAGGTAGAGGTGTGGGGGAGGGCCCCTGCTCCTGACCTAACTAATTGGTGGCCAAGAGGTACAGAGACTCTGGTGCCAGACGGGCAAGATCTGGGACTGGGGCTGGCTGGGTGGCTGAGGCCCCTCCCCACCCACACCCAGTCTTCTCTCTAGGTGGACATGGAAGGCAACGAACAGGATCAGGACCAGTGGATGATCTAGGTAGATAAGGCAGGGTGGCCTCAGGTAAATTCCAGGCCAGCCCAACTTACCCTGCATCCTCTGCAGAACCAGCTGATTGCCCCAGTGCCTGAAAGCTCACCCTTGGGTATCTCTTCAGCTGCTGCCAGGAAGTGGTCTTCTTGGCTCCTCCCAGGCCATCAGTTTGCCCGTGATTCCCCAGGGCCTGAGCCCAACCCACCTTTCTGCCTAGTACCTCACCCTTTGGTTGCCAGGTATAATCTCTTTCTAACTCTCTTTAATAAAGACACAGGACTGATTTTTTTTCCTCCCGTGTCTATTCCCTATTTGTTGGTGGGGTGCAGAGGAATCCAGCATCTTCTCTTGAGCTTTAGGAAGAGGGCACACAAGGGACTTCAGGCAAGCCTACCTGACCATGTGGTCCAGGGCTAAGCAAGGCCAGGGTGGCCCTAGCCATGGGCCCAGGCTCCATGTCCGTTTCCTCTGGCCCAGCTTGTATCCATACATTCCTTCAGAGTTTCTCTGTTTCCTCTGATCCCACCTGGAACTGCATGGGCTGGGGGGGGCAGGCTATCTGAGTCTCAGAAATGGGAGGCCCCTGGAGCTCTTCCAGACAGCTTCCTTGGTATTAGGAGAGCAGATTAAATCTCAGAGCAGCCCAGGGATTCCCTTGGAGTCATCCAGAAAATCAGTGATAGAGTTGGGTTGGGAGCTCAGGACTCTTGCCTGTTAATCCATAGGTCTCTCTGGAAGGATAGGTAGGGGCCAGTGAGACCAAGCAGTCTGACCTAACTTGACGCCTTGTCAGTGTGGAACTGGAGTAGGGCAAAGGTGGGAGCACAGCCTCCCCATCCCTGAGCCCAGCATGTGTCAGGCCACAAGCAGAGAGGGGAGGAGATGTCCTGAGATCCTTGCTTGGATGGGGGTGGAGGGGCAGCAGTAAGTACCCCTGGGCCTGGACCTCAGCCAGGCCCTGCATAGGTGAGCTGGGCTATGCCATCCTTGATGGCAGGGAAGTCTGGGAGGCCAGTGTGGTGGAGGCGGCAGCGGTAGCGGCCACAGTTCTTGGCATACTGCAGGAAGCGAGGTGCACCAGGGAAGAGCACGTGGTCAGCCAACACAGTAGCACCAGCTGGCAGCAGGGCATGGGCCTCCAGCAGCTGCAGGTCTCGCAGGTAACATCGGGGCCGGTGTGCCAGGAGCACCAAGTCTGCCCGACTCAGCTGGTACTGGGTTCGTAGACGTGGGATCACCTCCTCTGAGCTACTCACAATTAGCTCCACCTGTAGGGGTGGGAGGAGCTGGAGGTGAGGGTGGGAGGGACTGTCTCCCAGACCAGACCACCTCCCCCAGGATCTGGCTTACTTTATGCCAGGTCCTGGCCTAAGTCCCCATGAGTGTTCTCAGATTTCCTGTTTTCAGAACAGACCCAAGAGGTCAGGATCAGTATTGTGATTTCCATTCTGGCAGTGATGAAGCTGAGATTCAGGAAATAAGGTCATAAAGGTCACAAGAGGTAGACTAGACTAAGGGTTCAGACTCAGGTTTGCTAGGCTCCAGAGACCTTCCTCTTAACTGCTCCTTTGTCATCCAGCAGCAAATATGACAAATGACTTGGAACAGGGGGACAGGAGTTCACACATCACCCAAGGTCCCAGTCCCCTATGTGGAATGGAGCTGCTGCTTTCCCCTGTGTGGGATTCCTTTACTGGGGAAGCTTGGCTAGGGCAAGGCTGGGGGTGGAAAGGAGGTGGGTGCTGACCGTGCGCTCGTCAAAGCCAGCCAGGCAGATGAGTTTTTCAGCCACTGCTGCCATGCGTGGGTCCCGTTCCACAGTGAGAAGGCGGCCCCCAGGGGGCAGAGCACGGGCAAGAAGCAGTGTGGAATACCCGAAGTGGGTGCCCAGCTCCAGCACACATGCAGGGGTCTTCTCCTCCACCAGCCGCATCAGGATCTGACCTGAGGGGAAGATGGCTGTTACAGCAGACATGGGAGATGGATTTGGGGTCCTTGATAGAAAAGGATCTCGAATGCCCACTTGCCTCACTGCAGCCCCAACCAGCTGGGGTCTCCTCTCGGACTACAGCTCTAGCTGCCCCACTGGATCTCCCTTCCCCTCTTTCAGTCTCACTTCATACCAGCCATTAGGCATCTTTCCAACAAATCTGACCCTGTTGCTCCTTAGTTCCTGTGATTCTCAAGGCCTTTGAGATTTAACTTGAAATCCTTAGCCTGACATTCAGGACCTTCCTGGACCTGATCCTATCCAACTTTTCCATTCTTCCATCTGTAGCCTCTACCACAGCCCTCCCAATCAGTGTGCCCAAAGTCAACCAAGGCAGCGCTGGCTCATTTTTTCATGCTGCACCAGTGTATGTGGCTGGCTCTGCCCTTCCTCTCCCCTGTCCTTATCTACTTGGCCAAGCTGAAAGCAATTCTAGGGTCTGCTTCCTCCAGGAGGGCTCAAACAGAAAGAGCCACAGGCTTCTGGGAGACTTTTGCTAGAACATCCAGTTTCATTTCCTCTTGTTTTGTTCATTGAATATCTTTCTAACCTTGGAATTGGAAAAATTTCTTCAGACTCTAAAAGCACTTGTGCTGGGTGCCCAGGCAGCTCAGTCGGTTTAGTGTCTGCCTTTAGCTCAGGTCATGATCTTGGGGTCCTAGGATCGAGCCCCAAGTTGGACTCCCTGCTTAGCAAGGAGTCGGCTTCCCTCTCTCCTTCTGCCCCTCTCCCTTACCTGTGCACACTCTCAAATAAAATCTAAAAATAAAATAATAGAATAAAAATTGAAATAAAGTAAAATCACTTGTGCCAGGAGCTGGGACTCCGACAAAGCCAGGCACTACTCTGAATAGGATGTAGGAGCCTCCATGATTGGGGGAGAAATACTTAGCACAGATAATTAATTACAAAGTTACAAGTTATATGCTGAGATGGTTGTCCCCTTTGTACTGTCCCCTTTGAGGCCAACATTTGTGGTTGATTCATCTGTGTGGCCTCTGCCTCCTTTTCCAACCCAGCACTTAGTACAGGCCTAGTACAAAAGTGGTGGCAATAACTGTTAGATGAATGAATAGCTTTGCCCAGCCCCCTCATTTGTGGAGGAGAAAAGAGAGACTCAGAGGATCAGGAACCTGCCCAATGCACCCAGTAGGCAGTGGTAGGTCCCAGACCTTCCTTACCATCTTAGGGGTGCTGCCTGGAGAAGGGTAAGAAACACTGACCTTTGACAGGCCCCATGTGGCCCAGGTACTCGCAGTGGCTGCTCCAGTGGTCCAGGGTGGTAAGGATATGACTGGGGTCCCCAGGCAGGGCGTGGGTGAGCACATAGCTGAAGGCCCGCTCCTCAGCCCGTAGCCCTGACAGGCAGTCTCGGAGGCTCCGCAGCAAGACCATGCGCACCAGCAGTCGGAAGTAGTGCCGGTACCGCACCAGCAATGTCACCACCAGTGGCAGGAAGGCCAGTGCGATGGCGGGGGACATGGTCCCCACCAGGGCTCTGAGGGGAGAAGAGGCAGGGAGGGAAACCCACATCCACCATTTGTCGTTTGTATTAATTATCCCTGTGTTTTACAAACCATAGCTCAGAAAGGCTGTCTTTTGCCCATAGTCACACAGCAAAATGGGGATTTGAATCTGAATTGGTTCAAAGTCAAAACCATGTACTTACTTTCAAGGACTTCATGCTAGTCTGTGTTCTGCATCCATCCCCAAACCACCTCTTCCCACTTCTGGCCCTTGGTCCTATCTTCACCGTGCTTCTTCCATCTGTTTCCCCTCATCTCTTTAGTCACCTCTTCTGGACCACTTTCCATAGTCCCCTGAGATATCCCCCACCCAGCCTCCCCTCTGCCTTGTCTCCTCTGACCCATTAATGTGGAGCAAAAGAGCACAACTTTGTAGTCAGAAACCCCTCCGGGCCTTGTGTGCTGCCTCAGTAAAAGGCAATCAAAACATTCCATAGGGTGTTAGGATGCGATTCCTTCCCACCCCTCCATCTGTTCTTTCCTGAGGTTGGGAGGAGTCCCTGAGTCTCCTCTCCAGTCCTTTCATGCATCCTCCCCTGCATTTGCCTTTTCTGTTCTCTTTCAGAATTCCTTTTACAAGCGTGTACACACACAGCACCCACTGTCCCCCCAAGCTCGAGCCTCTTCTTCCAGGGCCCCGATGGGGGATAAGTGCTCTTTCCTCTTGCATGCCCTGGATGATCCTCCCTTTCCTCCACATCTGCCCCTTGTGAGGCCTCTGGTGATGGTGGGGACTAAAATTGAAAGCAAGAGTGTAAAAGTGGATGTGAGTAGGTGAGTGATAGTGAGTTTGAACTGGTATGCTTGGGAACCCACGCTCAAGAGCCCTGCTTACCTGGGCTGGAGGCTCCGGCTGGGGGAAGATCAGAGCATAGGACAGGAGGGGGAGTCCTTGGGGCCAGAGAACCCTGAGGCAGGCTGGACCTGCTCTCAATTATTGATGCAGAAGCTGCTGCTGTCACCTGAGACCTGCAGTTCAAGTTACAGGCTGCAGGAACAAGGTGGGTCTGACTCTCACCCTTCTCAAGCCCTGTAAGAATTTACAGAATTTCAGGGTCTTGATCTGAGGGGTATTAAGAGCTACTGGGCTCAGTGACCTCTCCTCTAACTCCTTGTATGTCCCCTCCCAGGACAGGGGACATGGTGTGACCCAAGGTGATGGGAGGCTGTAATTTACTCAATTCAAAATTCAATTGACATTTTGTCTAAGCAAATGCCAGGGTGTGGGTAGCAGAGAGGGGTCAGATCTTGTCCCTTTCCTCCAGGAACTCCCAAGTTTGGAGGAAGAGACTGATCCAGAAAAGGAGAATAAAACATAATCCAGTACTCCATTGATACACTTTAGGCTTTTTTGTGAACCTCTGTATATCTAGACAGAACATTGTGTGGCTCATCACAGATAATTACTTGATTTAATAAATGAAGAAATCAGTATGGGATAGGGATTAAGCACAGGGAGCTGAGGATGCCCAAATAATGGGATTGGAGATGGCAATCAGGAGGTTACTGTTTGTAGTGAGGCTTGAAGACAGAAGAGACACCTGGTAGGGAGACTGTGCAAGGCCACGTGTGGAAAGTCCAGAAGGTCTGTCAGGAAACTGCAAATATTTTCTTACGGCTGGCTGGCGAGGCATTACTCTGATTCCTGCACCACCACTCGCCCCCGTGACTCAGATGCTGGAATGGGAGGCAGGTAAGAGGCTCTGCAAGATCTTGAATGACAGACGTGGACCTGTGTTCAGCGTCCAAGGGAAGATATAGGATGGTTCTAAGAAAAGAGCATTGTGTGTTAGATTACTATGGTTGCTTAAGAAAACCAAGCAAGGGATCCCTGGGTGGCGCAGCGGTTTGGCGCCTGCCTTTGGCCCAGGGCGCGATCCTGGAGACCCGGGATTGAATCCCACATCGGGCTCCCGGTGCATGGAGCCTGCTTCTCCCTCTGCCTATGTCTCTGCCTCTCTCTCTCTATCATAAATAAATAAAAACAAAAACAAAACAAAAAAAAAAAAAACAAGCAAGATTGAAGAGACGTGCCTAAGGGCAAAGACCGTGAGGTGGCCTCTATCTCTTCCAGGTTTGAGCTCTGCTCTGCCTTGGTTTGTGTAGGAGTAAGGGCTCTTCTTCCACTAAGTCGTCGATCCTTAGTCCAGGGTGAGAACTCCATTGGGCGCCACACTCTATGTGTCCCCCAACTGGACGCTAGGCATCTGGATCCAACGTACACAGAGACTTGTGTGCTCTAGAAGCGTAGGGCGTCAAATTCCAATCGCCCCTCGCATGGCATTTAGGAGACCAAATCATAATAGCTTTTGGTAAAAGTTCACTCACTGGCCCAGAGAGGTAGCTTGGCAGCCACGCAACCACATAGCACGAGGGCCGGCCGCAGAGAAGAGCCCCTAGAGCCGGTGGACGAAGCCTCGATCTCTGAAACTGGGCAGAGGCTGAAGTCATGTGATCCGCCCCTCCCTTTCTCGCATCATGTGCCTCGAGTCTTGTCTAGCGAAGCGAGCCTTCCCATTGGTTGGCGGTGATCACGCGGTGGAGGCGGGGCCGGAAACCGGGGTGGCGGCGGCAGCGGTGCGGCTCTGGGAAGGGATAGGCGAGGAGGAGGGTGGCTGCCTGCTGGCTGTAGCCACGGGTCATGTGACCGGAAGGGCTCCCGACGGACGCCGTCCCTCCTCGGCTCGGCCTGAGCGCCCGGCCCGACCCCGGCCATGGGGTGCTGCTACAGCAGCGAGAACGAGGACTCGGACCAGGTGCGGCCGCGGCGGGCGAGGCTCGGGAATGAGGGTTGAGAGACTGGGGCGTCGGGCTCAGAAGAAAACCTGCAGAAGAGCGGGAGCAGGACTGCGGGGCTCATATAGTACGGCGGCCGGGAGGGGACAGATTACAGAGGGGACGCCCGGCCGGGCTCCTACCCTTGTTAAAGCCCCAGCTTTCTCTCTACAGTCTCCGCATTGGGGTGTGCAGGCAGGTGCTTGTCCCGCTCGCTCCCACCCCTTTCATCTTATCTTACCCTTAAAGCTTTATAGCCTTCAGGATCCTCAGCCTAGGTCTCTGGGAAACATGGTCTCACCAGTTTTCTGTGCTTTTTCTGTGCTTGTAGGAGCGGGCTTTGTGAATCCATTCTAGGGATGGGTAAGCTGAGGCTCAGAATTAGTTTGTCCTGCGTGAATCAGGAATCCGTGTCTGCTCTCAGCCCCTGGGGTTGGAGAAGGAAGGTCACTGCTGATTTGGGGTCAGAGAAGGCCTCTGGAAGTAGGTGGCATTTGAATTGACCAGTGAAGAATTTAATAGAGACAATGACATCGAGATATGTGGGAAGTTGGGAAGTTACAAAGTGGGTTTCTGCTCTGGCTGGATTAAATTAGAGAGATGGGATGGGGAGCACAGTTTTGCCTGCCTCGTGCAGTTTTTGCCTGGGGCCTGAGGGTTCCTTCAGCTACACGGGTGGTTGTCCTGGGAATTTGTAGATCTGATGCCTTTGCACAAGAGATTAAGCTGGAAAACTTGTGCAGTTTTTCATTCTCCCTCTTCCACTTGGTGCATTCTCACTTCTCACACCTTAAACCCTGCCCTGCCTGCCTATCTCTTTTTAGGAGTGGGGAGACCTTCCCAAGAATGAAGTCTCAAGCTCTTTGCCATCACCTTTTTGATTGCCTCTAAGCCTGGATTCTGCATTTCAACACATTCTAGACGCAGAGACGATAGATTTCTGCAAGTAGCTCAGAATCTGGTGGGGAAGATGGTCACAGAAATGGACTATATTACTAGTATTTGCGAAGTAGGTCTTTCCTCAGTGACTCACATGAACCTATTTTGGATTAAGGACTTAAGGCTAGGAAATGTCATTTGTTTGAGAGGCATGGGTAGCTCCTGGGCCTCATTAATTTTCCAAACACTCAATGAACACATCTTATTTCCTATGCCTTATGTTAGGCATACTTAATGCCTACTACTCCTCAGTTCACCTCAGTCTCTTAGAGGAGACAGTATTCCCGTCTACTGGGAAAACAAGGGTAGTGGGAAATCATCCCCGACAGGATAATACAGACTCTTGCAAGGAAAGAGTCAAGAAGAATTAGTGTCTTCTAATAAAGGATATTGGCTTCTAGTTGGGAGAACTAGGCTTGCTGCTTTCCTGAATTTCTTTTTCTTCTTGACAGGCTCTCACTTCTGTTTCTAAGCCCCCAGAGAGGTGCTTGATCAGTGCTGGGTGATTTGAGGCTTCGTGTGGCAAAGGTCTATACCATACCATTCACTGTCTCAGAGTCCCTCTCCCACTTTCATCTCTGCGCTTTCATTATAATAAAAAGAAACCTATTACACATTTTTCAAAGGCCTTCTATAGTTATTTCATTTGATTTTTGCCAAACGTTTGTCGTATAGGTACAGGTCCTGTATTTAAAGGCAAGGAAAGGGATCCCTGGGTGGCGCAGCGGTTTGGCGCCTGCCTTTGGCCTAGGGCGCGATCCTGGAGACCCAGGATCGAATCCCACGTCGGGCTCCCGGTGCATGGAGCCTGCTTCTCCCTCTGCCTGTGTCTCTGCCTCTCTCTCTCTCTGTGTGTGACTATCATAAAAAAATAAAAAAAAAAAATAAAGGCAAGGAAAAGGTTTAGAGAGACTAAGTGATTTAGCCAAGGACAGAGAGCCGAATAGTGCCATAGTCACGGTGTCTTGATACCAAGCCATGTGCTTTATCCATTGGACCAAGCTGTCTCTTTCAAACCTGTGCCCATAGACCAGGTGGCTAGTCATGGGCAAGCCATATCTATGTGTCTAGGGCAGACAGTGAAGCCCTGACTCCTGGGTTGACACTGACTCAGGGACAGCCCTTGGTATGGAAAACCTCCTCCCTGCTGCAGTTGCCTGCTGAGGGTGGGATGACGTTATTTGTCCACTCTGATGGGAGTAGCCCAGCCTCCTCTGGGAGTCTAGGTCTCCAGAAAACAACTTTGTTCTTGAGCAACCCGATGGGGGGCTAATGCTCCGTCTTGCAGGCAGATCTGTCTCGAGTAGGGCTGGGGGAAGGATGACACCCAGGAAGCAAACTCAGGGTTCGTGATGGAGCTAGCTTTTCTGTGAGATAGCTCGGTCTGTGGCAAACCTTTTGTCTTTCTAGCTCTTGAATACTTAACCTGTGTTTTTAAGGGGGAGGGGCCGTGTTTTTAAGGGGATAGGGCAGAGTTCTACAGCTTTTGTCTCCTGCTGTGGGGAACTGGGGACACTTGGGCACCCTGGGCTTGAGGAAGAGTGTTGTGAAAAGGCTGGGCCTGCCTAGGGTGGGGCGGGAGGAAGTGGCCCTGTGTAAGGAGGGTTGTGGAGTCGGGAGCCCTCCACGGGAAGGGCTGTGGTAGGAACTGAGAGCGGCCTGGAGTGGAGCACTGGTGGTCTGGCACTAAGGGTCGGTGAGTCAGCATTAGGCAGGATAGGCCCCTTGTCCTTGGCTTTGTCCTGGGCACCCTTGCCCTTTATGGCTTGGATAGATAACCAGCAAGTCTGCTTATCCAATTTGAAGCTGACACAAAGCCAGCAGGGATTTGCTGCTAATGGGCTCAAGGCAGGGTCGTACCCAGAGACATTGTGGTAGATGAGAACGAGGGACTGAAAGAACGAGGGGAAATATACACAGAATTGTGAAGGACCAGGGAGACCTGGTTTGGCCCCAGGTTAATTCTGGGGGTTTGTTTTATCAGCATAGGCTAGCAGTAACACGGACTACGGAAAATCAGCAAAACCACACTAACAGAGGTGTGGTGGGTTGGCAAGGGAGGGAACAGCTCCAGTGTCAGGCCAGGCTTCACCAGGGGCACCAAGTATAGTCTTGGGAGTCATATACAAAGAGGACATCAGAAGAGAGTGAATACCTGTGAGTAGAAGGGACCTGCCCTCAAGAAGGGGGCACACTTGGGACTGTGTGACCCAGAGACTGGGACTCCTGCCCTGACATTATACGAGGAATAGAACTGTCTGGATTCCCAGGGCGTCTGTCGTGGGAGCAGCCAGCTAGCTGGGGAGGGCCTGGCCTGGGTATCAGGAGTGCCATTCTTAGGCTCCTGACCTGCAGCAGTTTCTAGACCTCATTCCTCTAGCTTCCAGCTTCCAGTATCCTTTGTCTGTCAGGTGCTGGACTGTTTTCTGAAGCTGTAGACCTGTTACTGAATATATGCTTTGTGCCTGTGTCCATCTTTTCACAGCCTCTAGGACTGCTTGGTTCCACTTTGATTCATTCTAGACCACCAACTCAGCTGAGCTCCCGAGGGCAGGCAGGACTGAGTCTTAGCTGACATGCCATACACTTGGGCGCTTAGGGTATTTTTTTGGTGCTTCAGTGTCAGAGCTGGGCTTAGAGAAGAGCCCAGGAATGGCAGGTTGGACTAAAGGGTCCAGGGCTGACTTCTCCCCTATTACCTCACCTAGGACCGAGAGGAACGGAAGCTGCTGCTGGACCCTAGCAGCCCCCCTACCAAAGCCCTCAATGGAGCTGAGCCCAACTACCACAGCCTGCCTCCCACCCGCACAGATGAGCAGGCCCTGCTCTCCTCCATCCTTGCTAAAACAGCCAGGTGAGCACCCCAGGACCAAGCCTGGGCAGAGCTTCTCCATCCATGTTAAAGGATGGACAGAGGGACAGGGCCCAGGACATGGGGGATGGGACAAGGTCAGTGGCAAGAGGTGCTTCTGGGCCCAGTCCTGCTCCACTGGGCGGGCAGGGCCAGTGGTGTCAGATAGTCCTGGAGTTGGCACTTGGCAGTGAATCCCATGTGTCCCTCTTGAAGCACCTGTCATGTTCCCTCTGCCTCCTCTCCCCAAAGCAACATCATTGACGTGTCTGCTGCGGACTCCCAGGGCATGGAGCAGCATGAGTACATGGATCGGGCAAGGCAGTACAGGTGAGACCTGGCCAGCTTGGGTCCCCCCTTCAGGCTCTTTGGGCTCCTCCCTGCCCCTTATCCAGCTTTGGAGCCTGGGCCCCAGGCCAGGCTTCTGGTTTGGGTGAAGCCCAGGAGATGGACGACAGATCTCTCCGCTACCTCAGCAGATGTTCGTGTCAGCCCTGTTTGCCCTGTGGCCCTCAAGGGTGCGGAGGCCAAGGGAGGTGGGCCTGGAGTGAGTTTGTGGTGAGCAGAGGTGCCTGTCACCCTGCTCCTCTGGCCCAAGGGACTGAAGCTTGCCTGGGCTGGGCTGGGCTGGGCAGAGCAGACTGGCCTGACCGCTCCCCACCATCCTCCCTCTTGGCCAGCACCCGCTTGGCTGTGCTGAGCAGCAGCCTGACCCACTGGAAGAAGCTGCCACCGCTGCCATCTCTCACCAGCCAGCCCCACCAAGTGCTGGCCAGCGAGCCCATCCCCTTCTCCGATTTGCAGCAGGTGAGCCACCCCTGAGCCCGCCCCCGCCTACCCTTCCCTTATAGCTGGGCTGTGGCAGAGGGCTCACCCTCTCTGTCTCAGAGGCGGTAGGGAAGTGGAGTTAGGGAGCCTGGTAGCTCAAATGCCCCACTCACTCTCTCCTTACTTTGTATCTTCCCCTCTCTACCTTTATTCTCTTTCTCTGCTTTGTACTTTTCTGTCTTTCCCATCATTACCTTTTTCTTTGGCTTCCTGTCCCCCACCACCGCCTCCTCTCTTGCTACCTGATCCCCCTCCCCGGCTTTCCGGATCTCTTTTCTCACTGTGTCTCTCTGTTGCTCTCGTCCCTGGTCCCTCTCAGGTCTCCAGGATAGCTGCTTATGCCTACAGTGCACTTTCTCAGATCCGAGTGGACGCAAAAGAGGAGCTGGTTGTACAGTTTGGGATCCCATGAAGAGAGGGATCCTTGGACAGCTCTTCTCCTCTCTTCACCCCGTCTCCACCCTGCCTCCCCTGGGCCCCCAGCCTCACTGCGGCTCACACAGTACCCTAACCTGCTACTAATCACAGAGAAGAGTGTGGAGGAGGAGAAGAGTGAGGCTGGAAGCCTGAGCAAATGAGGACAGAGCAAGGGAGGGCAGAACCATTTGGGACTGGTGTTCAAAGCCCTGGCCAGGGATGGGGTGGGGGTCAAAAGATTAGGGCCTGGTAGGTCTTCACTGTCACTGGGAAGGTGAAGATACCAGTGTGAGGGTGATCCCTAGGGGGCCTATAGGGGCCCCCTTCCCACCCTTTCTCTTGGCCTCACTCCTTCTCCCTCTCCCTGACCTGGTGCTCACATGCACCTCACTAGGGTTTGTGACCAGGGTCTGGACGAGCTTGAATTTGAATGAATTGAGTTTGTATTTCTAGCACCCTGGGTTTTTACATGTTTGGGGTTTTGGGGTTTCGTTTTGGTTTGTCGCCCTCGATAAAGGAAGTGTATTCATCTGTGTGCTGGTTGCAGCCCCTCTGTCCTGCCCACCACCCTATAGTACTATTTGTGGTCTGTGAGCAGTGAGATTTGGGGGAGGGGGGGGCTACGTCTTGTAGGGGCACAAAGAGGAATCCAGGAGATAAGGGTACAGGGTTCCCAGGTTTTAGCTGGAACTTGGCCTGGGCTGACCTCAGGTTGGATAAGACTGCCTGTCCCTTCTCTGGTGATGGGACTACTATCAGAGCTGAAAAAACCTGAATCTGAGGCAGTTGTCACCGTTGGGGGCTCTGTCTCAGGTTCAGTGGAATTACCAATAAGCCCAGGGTTAGAGGGTAAAGGCAGAGAAAGGATACTTGATACAGAGCCAGCAAGCCACTGTTTCCAAGCAGAAGATTCTTTTTATCAAATGAAATCTTAGGCAGAATGCCCACATATAAAACAGAGTTAGAAGTACTCAGATCTGATTGAAGTGGGGGAGGGGTTCAGAGATCACAGCCTACCATCTTCTCTGAGGCATCTCCAAAAAACTTGGCACTCTGTGAAGCAGCTCTAACCCCAAGATACCTGAACTGCAGAGTAAAAAAAAAGGGCCCAGCGAGATTAGGTAAGTTTCTCAAGGCCAAGCAGTAAACCCAGGTCTCCTGCATTCCAGGCCAATAGGCCTTTCCCTCCACTGGCTCCATCTTTCAGCGAAGCAAGACTGAAGCTTCTGACAACTGCCTGAGTTGGAGGATGTTTTTACACCGCACAGATGACTTCACATCTGCTCAACTGCTCAAATCCTTTATTGTTAAACCAAACTGACCATCCTCGGGCCTTTAGGACTGGTCGGGCCCTGGGATCCTTAGAGTGCATTCTGCTTGATCCGGACCTTCTTAGGCTTGATGTTCATGTGTTTCCACACTTCAGCTGTGGCACGGTCTGCTTTGGTGACCCCACTGAAGTCGAATGTGGTGATACGGGGCAGGGTGCACAGCACATATTGCCTGTGGGGAAGACTTGGGCTGGGGGCCAGCCCCCTACCACAACCTCCTTTCCCCTCCACCAGTTGCTGCTATCTCCCCTAACTGTGAGGAATGGAGGCACTGAAGTATAGTTCGGGGGAGACAGAGCTTCCCCTGACTGATAGAAATGCCTAAAGGTCTCTACTCCCTTCCCTGTCCCAGCATGGCAGAATGATGGTGTTGGATTTCTTCTTTTCCCAACTCCTTTCCTTTTTTTTTTTTCCCGCAACTCCTTTCCCTCTGGGGAGCCCAGCTTCAGGGGCAGGCAGGGCACTTACCTATACCCCTTCTCTTCCTCTATGGGGTTCCCATGGAGTGTCAGGCTCCGGAGCCTCGGGAGGACAGCCAGCTTGTTGACCTCTCCCAGCCGCTGGATGCTGTTGCCATGGAGATAGAGTACACTGAGGTTGAAGAAAGTTGTCAGAACCTGTTGGGGAAGGAAACCGAAAGTCTGGATAGAAAGGGCCCTGGATCTGTGCTCAGGACTGACTTGTGGGCAAAGAAAGAAGAGTTTGGGAAACAATTTTCTTTCTAGTCTATGCCACCTCCCTGCAGCCATTCTGGATAACTCTGACCTTTTCATTTAATGTTGAGGATACAGAGGTATCACACTGACACAGAGCTGTGATCTGAGGGGCAGGAGGTGTGGGCCTGAGGCCTAGCACAGCCGCTGACTTGCCAGGTGACTGGACTTGCCTGCTTCCCCCTGTAGGTGCCCCTACACTGAAGACCTTTTTAGCACTGGTGACCTAAGATTCTTTCACAACAGGGGACAGGGATATAGAGCATCATGCTAGGTACATAAGAGAAGCTTTCAAAAATAGTAACTAAATTGAGATAACTACAACCAACCTGGCAAGTAGTCTCCAACTCACACTCTTGCTGCTTTTCCTCTGACAAGAATCCAGGACAAGAAAGAGCCAGTTGTGTTTAGATCTTAAAATTTCCGTTTGAGTTCATGGCAAATAAGTGCTGTACTTTACCTACCTCTTCCACAGAAGAACTCAGGACAAGAGCTGTTATTTTATTGCAGCCTGCCACGTACCAGTTGGCTTTCGTAATTCTCATTTAAGCCCCACAAAACCTTTATTTTTATTTTTTAAAAGATTTTATTTATTTATACAGGAGAGAGACAGAGAGAGGTAGAGACCCAGGGAGAGGGAGAAGCAGGCTCCCTGTGGGGAGCCTGATGTGGGACTCAATCCCTGGACCCTGGGATCATGACGTGAGTTGAAGGCAGATGCTCAACCTCTGAGCACCCAGGGGTCCCTCCATAAAACTTTTATGATGCTGGCATATGCTCCCCATTTTTCAGACAGGGAGGCTGAGATTTTGAAAGGTTATTTTGCCCCAAGTCACACAGTAAGAGATCTAGGATTTGAACCTACATTTGAGCCCACAGCCATGTCCTTTGCACAGCACTGTGCTGCCTCACTACTTATTTGATAATATGTGGGAAGTAGAGAGGCTGGAAGCTGGACAAGTGTCAGGCCCACCCTTGGACACTTGTGGACACTCAAGGCTGGGTACTCACAGGATCAATGGAAGTCAGGTCGTTGAAGGACAGGTCGATCCAGGCCAGGTTCTCTGGATGCTCCAGAAGCAGTGAAACCACATGGTTGAAGTCTCTCAGGTCATTGAGGACATTGTTGTTCAGCCACAGGGACTGGGTCAGTGACTTCCCTGACTTTGAGTGCCTTAGTGGTCGTAGTCCTGACCGTGGCTCCTCGCTTGTCAGATCTGTGGGAACAAAGTGAGATGTGGGTTATCATCTTTGCTTTTCTGTCTTCAGGGTGGGAAGGGACAGACCTGGGAGGATATGTAGCCTAAGCTATAGCTGGAGGAGCTGCAGGACCATAGAGTCTCGTAGGACTCTAATCACTGTAAATTCAGGACCCTGTCCCATAGGCCCCAGGAGTCCGAGGAAACTTGGACTAAGTTACTTAGTTCAAAGACTTACCATCCCAAATTCTTGGTTTGGGTCACCTGGTCTTCTCATGTCTGTCATATTATTGGGTCCTCTATATACCACTCCTGTTGGGGGTGGGGGAGGCAAAATCACTCCCACTTTATGGAAACTAAGAACTAGAATTGTCAGGCTTGAACCAAGATGATGATAGCACAAAATCTAAGAGTATCCACTGGTAGAGCCTATAGCATTCACTTCAGTACAATAGCCTTTGATGTTCTTTCTTGCATTACTGCTGAGCAACTGTGTGTGTGCCAGATAGTGGATGTATAGTGGTAAACAAAATGAGAGATGGTCTGCGCCAAGCTCTGGATCAGTAACAGGGCAGGGATGAAGCAGATGTTTGTGCCTTGGAGGAGCTCACAGAAGCAGGATAAAAACAAACTAGCAATATGATAGCAATAGAATCATGAAGAAGGACTCCTAACTTAGTCTGGGAACTCAAGGAAGTTGAACCAGAGATGGAACTCCGTGGATTAGGAGACATTAACCAAGCAAAGGGTGGAAAGGACATGCTTGTAGCATGACACAAGCAGAGGCATAGAGGTGTGATGTATGTATGTGCTGCACGAGGGGGAGAGGCGAGAAGGAAAAACTGTAGGAGCCTTGAATGCCAGGCAGAGTATTTTGGACTTTATTCTGTAGGTGATGGGAAGCCACTGGAGGGTTTAGGCAAAGGAGATGATCCAGATCTTTCATTGCAGAAAGACCATTCTGAAGCTTTAGTGTGGAGATGGATTAAAGGGAGCGGGTGGGACTGGAAGATCAATGTGGCTCTTTTAGTCTCCAACCAAGAGATAAAAGGGAGAGAAAATCAGCCTGACTTCATGGCTGACTGGATGTAAGAGTGAAAGAATAATCAAGGGTGGTGCCCAGTTTCTTGTTTAGGGGACTGATAAGGAACTAGAAAAAGAGAAACCAGGGTTGACAAGGTGAGGAGTTCGGGCTTGGCCTTGGTGTGTTCCTATCAGAAGCTCAGGAGACGGACAAGAATCATTATCATAGAAGGTGTACAAGTCAGAGAAAATAGAGGAGATTCCACGTGGAGAGGGAGGGTAGAGAGGGACAAGGAGGAGGCGGAGTCTACTGAATAATGAACAATGACAGAAGAACAGGGAGGGAGAACCACAAGAAGGTAATTTTAAAGATGCTCAGGAAGTCCATAGTTTATAGGAGTGAATTTCAGGAAGATAAGGACTGAAAAGTAATTTTGGCAACTCAAGCCCCTGCTGACCTTGAAATGACAAGGGCCTGGGGACAGAAGCTAGACTGGATGGAGTTCAAGAGTGAAGGTTAAGGAAATCTAAGCAGGTAGTGTAAACACCCCCCTCAGAAAGTCTGGCCAAGGAGGAGAGAGAATAGGGAAAACAGAGACGTTACAAACCATCTGTGTAGACCCCCACGCACTTTTTGACAAATGAGGTCCAGAGAGAGGATGGGCCCTGCCCCCACCAGTGACAGATCCAGAAGCAGATACCAGCTGTGGCTGAGGGGACTCTATTTTTCCACTTGCCCCTAAGCATCTCACTACTTGTCTAAAGCTGCTTCCAGAGAAGGAAGTATTTAGGATTTGCTGAACCTGGCCAGCTGTCCTTACTCCCCCTCAGCTCTTAGCGGACACTTCCTCCCTTCTACATCTACCCAAGTGTTAATTTCCTCTCCTTGGCTGCAGGTCAGGCAGCATCCACCAGATGGCTCTCCACCTTAGTGCTGGAGTGAGCAGGAGCCACAGCAGGAGCCTGAGGTTGGGGGGAGGCGGCAGGAGGGCATTGGAGCAGAGTACTCCAGCTAATGAATAAACTCCCAATCCTGCCCCCTGCCCCGCCAACATGTCCTGAGAATCCCAAATGAAATGACACAGCTGAATAAAGTTAGGGTTAAAATAAACCCACATAGAGATTAGCATCCAGCCTGATGAGGCAGCAGCTTAGGCAATGCTACTAAGCATGGGCGGATCTCCAGCTCAGAAGTAGCCACTGGTGGGACTGTGTTGCCTAAAATGTGAGGCTCCCATTGGGGCTGCCAGTATTGAGGGTGGAAGAGGGTATCCCATGGTTACAGGTTTGTTTCCTTCAGATTCCACGAGGAATCTGCATTGCTTGAGGATGTGTTGAAGCTTGCTTGTTCAGGCCAGGGCAGGTCTGGAAAATGGGCCACAAATATCAGTGCCCACAGAAGTGGGGAGTGTTTAGCCCCAGAAAGACCTGGGAAAAAGTGATCCTGTCTTCGTATCTCTGAAGGGTTGCCATGCAACTTTTCCATGTGTCCCTAGAAGGTGGGAGTTAGTTTGATAAGAACTTCCTTGCATTATCCCTCACCCCACAGTGGAAGGGGTTGGTAAATGTATCTCGTAGGGGACTCCCTTAATACTATAGGCTCATGAGCAGAAGGTAGAGGATAATGGGTTGGATGTAGTTTGAAGTCCCTGTCATTTCAGAATCTAATCCATCTATCAGTTACTTTAGCAAATAGTCTATCAAGTACCCCCAGACTCTTTCCAAAAGCTCTGGGGAACCTGCCTGGCCTTTAGGGACTTGGATATGCCTCTCCTTTCCCCCTCTTTATAAGACACAGCAAGGAGCACAATGTCTGGCACACACGTATACACAAGTGCTTGCTAAATAGTAGGCGCTCAGTAAATAATCAACTACTGAATGAAGAACAGGGCATCTTTACAGACTATGGTTTGTGCTATGGAGTTATCTGTGGTTGTAGTAGATGGTTTCTCCCTCCATTTTGAGGGTTCCACAGAGGGCAAAGCTCCATCTCCCCGCTCAGAGCTGGGAATTCCCACGGTAGGCAGGAGCCATAATTCCCTCATCTGTCACCTCGGCTTTCTTGTACAGGACCATTACAGCTAAAACCCCTATGGAACATGGACAACATCAATCAGAAGTGATGCTGTGCACAGTAAATAAAGATCATGGTAGGTAGGTGTGTGCTCCTGAGAGAACATGAGTTACCACTGTGGCTATTGCAAACCCAGTAGTATCCCAAACTCCAAGGCAGGTCTAATACCTCCTGGATAACTATTTGCCTTCTTCTTGAGCATAAAACTAGCCATCAATTGCCTATGAGAGAAAACCAAAGCCAGATACTGGGTCTAGGATATGTGGGGACCAGCATGTGTTCTGTGAGAGCAGATGTACTGTGCATGTATAAGTCAGATAGCAGAAGCCAGGGACAGCAGAACTTCTTGGGAAGAAACATACTCCTCTGAGAATATGACATTGCTAAGAGCCTCCCTTTGTCTTTTTCTGAAGAGTATTAGCCACTGATTTACAGACACTGAACAATAAAATGGGAATGAGCATGGGCAGTGCTGGAACCTGCAATAAGTGTGGGTGATGATAGAATAAACTTGGATAGGACTGGAATAAATATATTTATCAATAAATTTTTTTATTAATAAATATTAAACTGGAAACATACCAGTTAATAACGAGACCCTACATATTTTACCAGTCATCAGAATAGGCTTGTGTCCTCAGAAGAGATAGGGTTCTGCCTCTGTTTTCGTTTCTTCCTCTCTTCAGGTAAAAACAGGAGAATAAAACCATTGGCTGATAGACTGGTTTCACAGTTTTCTTCTACCTGACTTTACAGCTGTAGCCTGGATTGTTTTGAAGATGATCAGTTACCCCTTCCACTCCTACCACCTCCTTATTCCCGGTTCTTCCCAAAACAAAAAAAAAGAATCTGCAAGCATACAGGAAGACTCTCTTTAGGCTCTTAAAGACTGGTCTCTCCCTAGGGACCATACCCGGCCTGTTGCCATGGTGAGTGGAGTGCTGTACTCTATGGGCTGACCTTGGATCACGTGGATGCTTCGGAAGGAGTAGTCAAGAGGGGGCTCTGGCACCGAAGTGTTCATATAGTTCTGTTTGCTCATAGCTCAGGCCATCATTTGTCAGATGTAAGCATTGGCCCTGGGAGTCCGGGTTCAGCCTGAGGGGACAGAGAAGGACTGGTGTTCCAGGTACAAGGGGCTTAGGCTTCCCCTTAGGTATCTCCAGAGCCCTGCACCCTTGCTTTCTACTCTCTACTACTTCAGGTTTGCCTGGCTGTATTTCTATTTTAAGATGATAATCACCATTCCTTGCATTTGTAGAGCACTTCCTACTTCTTAGAGCACCTTTATATCCCTTAGAGCTCATGGATAGTAGTAGCACCCATTTCTACTTTCCACACAAAGAAACTGAGACCCGCAAGGTGAAAGCACCTGCCCCAAGTTAAGCCAATTAGTCAGTGTGGACTGCAATCATAGCCTCCTAAATCCTACTCTGAGGCCCTTTGTGCTACTCCATAGTAGTTACCATGGAGGCTTTCTTGGTACCTACACTCCAGTGACATCAACTGGTCTATTCTATTGCTTAACAAACCCTTGAGGGCCTGCATTGGATCTGGTGTCTGACTGCCCTTTGCAGTCTGACCCAGCTGGGGATTTTGCTACCTTCTCTGCTCAGCTTGTCTGTCAGCCCCATTTCCTTTCCATCCAAGGACCCTACTTCTTGCCACATCTGAATGTAGTCATATGTATATAAGCACATACACATAAAACCAGAGTCTACCTCACTCACCTGTTACCAATGCCTGAAACTCCACCATTAGGGATTCATTCCTTTGGGTTCAGTGATCATTCCCTGTTAAAATGGAAATACCCCCTAAGAGGGGTGAACACAATGTTAATAATTTACAATGTGGTGTGAACTGTCTTATCAGATCCTTTCCAGTTTGTTAGCTCAAGTAAAGGAGAGAAATTTTCAAGAGATGAGGAAAGCCATAAGAATACTACTCACCTGGGAAGAAAAAAGCTGAAAACATATTTTACCAAGGGATTTTGTATGTGACACATACAAACAAGACACATAGACTGACAAGGACATGTCCTGGTTAACCTCCCCTTCCTCACTTCATCCACCGCCATCACCTTCTTTGCTCACTACTTCACCTGCTTTCCAAAAGGATTTGAGGTAGTTTACAGTAAGATTCATAAAGCAGGATGATTTATAGAACGGAGCTGTCCAACTGAAATATAATGAACACTGCAAATGCAAGCCACACATATAATTTTTTCACGTATGCAATTTAAAATTTTCTAGTAGCCATACAAAGAAAAGTCAAAAGAAGGGTTAAAAGCTTAATATATTTTATTTAACCAAATATATTCAAAATAACATTCAACATATAATTGCTATTAATAACAGATACTTTACGCATCCCAATTTGGACAAGGTGCCTGTCAAGTGCTCAACAGCTACAGGTGACTAGTGGCTACTGAGACTGGACAGGACAGATGATGTAGGAAATGGAAATATGAAAGAGAAAGATCAGAAGGCAGATTAAAGGAAGAGAAAGAGATGGAATTAGGAACTGGCCTATGTTATCTCTAAAATTCCTGGCAGCCAAAGTAAAAAGGGAAACCTTAGGATATGCAGTTCTCATCATTTGATTAAAAGAAGCAAACAGAAAAAAAAAAAAAAGCAAACAGATTGTATGCAGAAAATGAAATCCACACATTTTCTTAAAATGAAATTCTCTTAAAAACCATGGACCTGATAGTTTATAATTGAGCCTAAGCTAAATACAGTTCAAGTAAATTCCTTTTTGGGTGATTTAACAGGTATAGAGGAATGGAAAGTGAATGTCGTCCTCTCAAAAAGCAGCAGTCTCATCTGAGCTTTGAGGAAATGCTGCCCTAAGTCACTCCTAAGTCACTTCACAGCTGAATTCTCTGTCAAATCGGGACTGGCCTGGTGGGGCACAGACTGTTGAAGGAGACCTGCATCTCTTAGATGTCAAATCTACAGACAGACAACAAAGAACAAAGGCTTTTCCAGAAAGAGAGGAACTTGGCTTGTGTTCTCACCTAGATAGAGAAGCCCATTCCACCAGAGCACAAACAACAGCTTTTATACCTTGCAGTGAGATTAGATACTCTGAGTCCTGAGTTGGGACCCCAGAGTTCCACACTACTGGACATGGATTTCATTATTTTTTATTTTTTTAAAAAAAGATTTTATTTATTTATTCATGAGAGAGAGAGAGAGAGGCAGAGACACAGGCAGCTGGGAGCCTGATGTGGGACTCAATCTCGGCTGGACATGGACTTTAGATTAAAATATTTAAGGGCAGAGTTTTACCATTAGTTTCCTGGACCATCAGAGAACCTAACTCAGTGCAGTTCCTAACTTCTGACTTTGTGTCACACCAGCTCCTGATGTTTTTTTTCTGAGTTGGTATTAAAAATGGAGCCCCCAGTAGTTAGATAAATTTGCCAGCTGGAAAGGGTTATTATTATTCTCCATTTAAATAGTAGCCCAGGCTGTGAGCTAGCACTGTCTTATTCATCATCTGACACAGAACCTGGCTTACAACAGGCACTCAAGAAATGTTTGTGGGAGGAATGAATGAGAAACTGCCAAATACAAGGATTTGTTTTGCTAGTGTTGATGGTAAGCTGCTCATTCTAACAATTGGCTCCCAGGTTCAGTTATTTCGGTCCACACCTCATTCACAGTAAGAAAATTCAATTCCGTAAACATTTATGGAGTGCCCACTGTCCTGTGCCTGACCAGAAGGAATGAAGCCAAGATAACAAATAATAGAACCGTGACTGTCATGAGCACAGAAGTCTGCTAGGTTTCCATTGTGGCAAACCAGCCTGCATCCAGTTCTAAGAAATAGCTGCCTACTTAGTGAATATTCTCATGATTTCAATACTCAGGCCTAGTATACCCTCTTTGATGAAGCCCATCTTTCCAGATAAAATTGATCAATGTGTACTGTAGCAGATTGATTGCCTTGATTATTCCTATTCATGGTCTCCCTTGTATCCATCTCTTCTGCCCTAGAACGCTGTAGTTCTATCCATTCTGATGCTGGGCTCAGCCATGTGACTTGCTTTGGGCAATGGGATGTTGGTAAACCTGAAGCAAACAGAAAGTTTAAAGACAGGGCTTGTCCTCTTGCTCTTTGCTTGTGCCAAGAGAAAATGACTACCCTTCTGGAGGGATGGGAGAGACATGTGCAGGTGAGCTATGTGCAGAGAGCTAGTGTTTCCAGTTGAGGCCATCCCAGTAGGATGGCCAATATTAATTTCATATTACTTAATATTATTTTTTTTCTGTTTGCTTCTTTTAATCAAATGATATGAAATATTTCATATTATAATTTCATGGAAATTATATTTCAGCCAATAGCCAGCCTACACCAAGTCAAGTTCAGGATAATTACAGGTGCCTGCAGATACATAAATGAGCCCAGCCATGACCAGAAGAAACATGGCTGACTTAGAGACTTGGAAGCAATAATGATTGTTTTAAGTCACTATGGTTTTGGATGGTTTATTACATTGCAATAGCTAACTGATACATGCCCCCACTGTACTTCGAACAAAATTTCATCACAGACCATTTCCTCATCTGTAAAATGGAGACAAACCTATCTTGAGAGTTATTGTATGTCTTGCAGCAGGTGCTAATATTAATACACTGAAGCAGCTGTATTCTCATACTCATTTCTTTTTTCTTTCCTTTTTTTTTTAAAAAAAAAAGATTTATTTATTTGAGAGAGAGAGAGAAAGCACAAGTGAATGTGGGGAGGGGCAGAGGGAAAGAATATCAAGCAGAATCCCCATTGAGTGGGGAGGCTGACCCAGGTTTCAATCCCATGACCCCGAGATCATAACCTGAGCTGAAATCAAGAGTTGTTTGCTTTAACCAACTGAGCTACCAGGCACCTCCCACTCCTTTTTTAAAAGTAGGCTCCATGCCCAGTGTGGGGCTTGAACTCATGACCCTGAGATCAAGAACTGCATGCTCTACTGACTGAGCCAGCTAGGTGCCCCTGTACTCATTTCTTTATAAACTACTTCCTATTCTTTCCCTGTAAGCTTGAGGCCAGGGTCAGAAGTCAGACTTCTTTCTCTCTTCCCACCATTACTCTGCACTGAGCCTGGCAAAGAATGATCTTCACTAAAGGCTTGATGAACAAATGGATAATGGAAAGAAGAAATGAATAGTGTCTTCAGGTGTCACCTGCTCTACCTGGCTGCTGCTGGGCAGATCTGGATTGCTTTGCTCACTTCAGTGGCTGTGTTTTTGGAGTCAGCCTTTTCCAGCTGCTGTTCTGCCTCATGACCAGTCAGATCCCAGTGCCTTCTTCATCTGTCCAAGCTGATTGACGAACAAAAAGTTTATAGGCATATTTGTCTTGTTTTGGAATTTTTCTTTTCCAAATTGGAAAGATCTTTTACTGTTTTTTTTTTTTAAATTATAAGAGTTAACATGATAGCTGAATAAAGTCAAACAACATAGTGGAATACATCAAATAGAAACTAAAAGTCTGAGTCTCTATTTCACCAAGAACAATCATGATTAACATTTGGGAATATAACCTCAGAAGGATATATACAACATTGTGTATATCTTTAAATAAACACATACTGTCTTTGTAAATGTATTTGTTAAATTCTACTTTATATGGGGGATCCCTGGGTGGCTCAGTGGTTTAGCACCTGCCTTCAGCCCAGGGCATGATCCTGGAGTCCCGGGATCGAGTCCCACGTCGGGCTCCCAGTGCATGGAGCCTGCTTCTCCCTCTGTCTGTGTCTCTGCCTCTCTCTCTCTCTCTCTCTCTGTCTCTTATGAATAAATAAAATCTTAATAATAAATAAATTCTACTTTATAACTGGGATAACTGACATAAAATACGGTTGCCATTGTAGTGTTAGCTAAGAATGTATTTTTAAAAATTTTTGTAGCCTCTTTTAAAAAATATTTTTAAAGATTATTTGACAGAGAGAATGAGTTAGGGTGGGGGCAGAAGGAGAGGGAGGAGACTCCCCAGTGAGCAGGGAGCCAGACACAGGGCTCAATCCCAGAACCCTGAGATTATGACCTAAACTGAAGGCAAATGCTTAACTGAGCCACTCAGGTGCCCCTACTCACCCTTTTTAAATAGAATTCATATGTATCTTACTTTATTTTTTAATTATTTTTAAAAGATTTTATTTATTTATTTATTTATTCATGAGATACACAGAGAGAGAGAGGCAGAGACACAGGCAGAGGGAGAAGCAGGCTCCCTGCAGGAAGCCTGATGCGGAACTCCATCCCGGGACCCAGGGATCACGCCCTGAGCCGAAGGCAGATGCTACACCACTGAGCCACTCAGATGTCCCTGTACCCTACTTTATTTACTTACTTTAGCCAATCCAGGGTGATAAAAATTTGTTTGCAGTTTTTGGAGATTACTAACAATTAGAATTTGATTTGTTGTTAGCTATCTCTTCCCTCTCTCAGGTAAGTAGCAACATGATGGTACAGGAAGCTTTTTTTTTTTTTTTTTTTTTTTGGCACAGGAAGCTTTGAGGAATAATCAGATGAGATCTAATAGGAGACTGAATAGCCTGGCCTAGAGAGGGCTTCTGTTTATGGGCTACAGGTGGAAGAAAAAGAATGTCACATGTCGGCCACATAATCTAGTGTATTCTGGGAGGTTATATTTTCAGATGCCACAAGGAAGCCCAAGATACAAACTAGCTCATGCCCTGGGGCAGTTTACTCCTTGGAACAAGTCTTTTTTTTTTTTTTTTTAACTTTTTAAAACATATTTATTTATGATAGTCACATAGAATGAGAGAGAGAGAGAGGCAGAGACAGAGGCAGAGGGAGAAGCAGGCTCCATGCACCGGGAGCCCGACGTGCGATTCGATTCCGGGTCTCCAGGATCGCGCCCTGGGCCAAAGGCAGGCGCCAAACCGCTGCGCCACCCAGGGATCCCCTCCTTGGAACAAGTCTTAAGCTAGACAGGTTGTAGCTTAAGGTTGTACACTCAAGCTAGTGACTTAGATTGAAATTGGTGACCTGGGGTCTAGTCCTAAACTGTCACTGATATGGTGTGTGGCCTTGGGTAAGTCGCTTTCCTCTTTGGATTTCAGTGTTCCAATTTGTAAAATGGGGAGAAATATCCTTGACTCACAAAACTCCAAAGAGAGACTGAATATGAAGGTGCTGGGTAAGGTGCCAAATGTAATCTGTCATGAAGACTGTAAAAGGAATCAAATTCTAACCATAGAGCTTTGAGAAGCAGACCACAGAGCTGTAGGGAGAAGAGGGAATTTAGGGACAGGACCCCAAATGAGTGTGTGTGGGCAGATGCTCCTGACTCTGAGGAAGAGGCTGCACCCTGGGACCTTGCTGCTTGTAAAGGAAAGAGACAGTGCAAGCCCCATACGTCTGCGTATGAAGGCCTGTGATTTAGTCTAATTTTACTCCCAAGTCTTGAAGAGGTCTCAGTTCATCAGAGGAGAAACCAACCATTTTCTGAGGGCGTTTCAGAACTCCCTCCGTCAGGGATTTGAGGCATCTGTATTAGGGGGTCTCAGGTTTGTGATACGGATGTTCTTAAGCGCCCCCAGGTCTGTACGGGTATGTATCTCGTTGCCCTTCCCTCCCCTCCCTCGGTCTATTCCATATGGATGTTGTGTCTTGTTCGTTATCAAAGGGGGGAAAGGGGTGTGTGCGGGGGGGAGGGGTTCTCAGGTCCCCGAGAAAGAAAATTCCTTAATCTCTCTTAGAACGAATTTCCTGTATTCCCGGCTGACTCACCCGCAGTTGTTTTCCCTCCAGCCTCCGCGTCCCACTACCTCAGGCTTACTCAGCGTCAACTCCATAGTAACTACCTCGACCCGGCGAGCCGCCGTAAGCGCTGCCGCGATACCTACCGGGAGCTGTAGTTCGCCAGGGGCGGGGCTCCAAAGCCGCGGGACGTGCTGGGATTTGTAGTTTTCTTTGCTCTCAAGTCCAGGCCGGGGTCCGGAAATAGTGACACCCCCTTCTCTCTTCCCAGTGGTCCTCACACTTCCTTTTCCCGGGTTCTCAAGCGTGCCCTTGCGTGAAACTCCAGCCGACTGGGGCCAATCAGAGGGTGGCGCGAGGGGGCGGGGCCATAGTTTAAACTAATTGTGCGCTCACAGCGCTGGCGCGAGCCCGCGGCAAAAACGATCCCGTGGAAGCGTGAGGCGGAGCGGGAGCGCGCGGCCAGGTAACCGGCGCGGGCCCGCGGCTGGCGTTCGGTCTGGGCACCCGCAGGGATGCCCGGGCCCAAAGGGGGTGCTGGAGAGGCGGGTGCGAGCGGAAGGCCTGCTTCATAACCTCCTCTGACTGGGGAGACTCTATCGGGGGTAAGGTTTGTGAGGAGGGGGGCATGTCCGGGGGGAGGTGCCGGCGTGCCTGGGCGGGGAGGGTCTGTTTGGGGGCGTGTCGGTGGAATTCTGTCTTCGACCGGGGTGGGGGTGGGGGTGGGGGTGGGGGTGGGGGTGCGAGTAGTGCGTGTTCCTGAAAGGCTTGTGACCCAGAGGTCCCAGGGCAGTCTCCGCCTATTATTGTTAACAATAGTAGTAGTAATACTAGTAGTGAACATTTTCCGAGCACCGACTACGTTTCAGACACTCCCTTTATGTGGATCGTTTAAAAATATATTCCTAATTGTCCTATTATCCTTTATTACAGATGGGGAAGCGGAAGTATTTTATAATGCTTACTTGGCCAGGATTACATAGCTAGTGCATGGCTGTCTTCCATAAGGAGTAGAGGCTAAGGGGCTATGTGGGGGTGCGCCTCGTCTTGGACGAGACACCTGTTTTGAGCCTCACTTCTCATACATAAACAACGAACTTACCTGCCTTACCTTATTTCTTGGGGTTGTTCTGCGGGTCAAATCAGGTAAGTTGTTTCATGGAAGCATCTTGAAATGCACAAATCTGTGGCTGTAAGTGACTTTGTGAAGGTTGTGGGTGGGAAAGAGCCTAACTGGCTTGATGCTGCCTCTTCTGGGTGCCCTCTCTTGCTTACCCGGCCCGGCCCACTCCGCCCGGAAGTCCTTCTCACTTGGAATTCGAAGAGTGTCTGCGTGTCTGTCCTTCTAGGTGGAGACAGTGTCTTTTGTCCCCGTATCCTGATGCCTAGGCAGGTGTGAGTGAAACCTGCCTTGGCCATTAACATACACTTTGAAATGAGCTTTAATGTTCCGAAAGGAAATAAATAGCCTGGCCTTCCCATCTTCATTTAGTGGCTTTTGAACCTCTGTATGCTATCTTTTTGCCTGGAATGGCACTGCCTTCTAAAAATGTGATATTTACTTGCTTTAATCCATGTTTCCCTCTCTTGGTCTGTTGCCTGGTCCTGTATTCCCAAAGTTCTGGAATGACAAGTGCGGTACTTTGTGGTGGTCAGAAACCTTGGTGGTAAAGGAATTGGGTTACCTTGTGGAGATCTTTACTGCTATGAACATTTGGAAATCCAGAGGGAATATTCTTTCCATCAGTAGGGATGCATGTATGTGTTCCCTCCCTCTCTGTTCCTGTATGGTTCTCCTGTAGAGGAAGAAGCACATACTTCTCTGTAAAAGCTTCCAAATTACTCTTTTCTTGGCCTAAGTTCAAGTAAATGACTAATTGTAATGCCTGATTCTTTTTTTTTTTTTTAAAGATTTTATTTATTTATGAGAGAGAGACACGCAGAGACACAGGCAGAGGGAGAAGCAGGCTCCATGCAGGGAGCCTGACGTGGGACTCGATCCTGGGTCTCCAGGATCACAGCCTGGGCTGAAGGCGGCGCTAAACGGCTGAGCCACCCGGCTGCCCTGTAATGCCTGATTCTTCATCTAATGCCAAAACTATACTCCCCCAAAGCTAGAAGATCTTACCTGAAAGCTCATATGAAAAGCACTTCTATTTAGAATGTTCTTTTTTATTTATGGAATATTAAAGTGAGAAGAATGCCTTGAGTAGTACTTGAGTTCTAGAACTGTTAGGATGAGGGAAAGCGGATGAGGGAAAGCCCTGCCACAGGTGGCTAAACAGAGCTGGTCTGGGAATGTTTTGACAGCTGTGTCTAATAACACCCTATGGTCATTAAGTGTGTTGGGGGTCATTTATTTCAGCCTCTTACTCAGTGTTATGCTAAACATATCAAAAGGTGTTGTCTGAATTCAAAAATCAAAATGAGCACTTACAATGATGAGACCACTCCCTCAAACAGTCTATTTCAATATCGAACAATCCTAAGTAGCAATAATTGTTATTGTAATAGTATTGTTTTGTGCGGTCAGTGGTTACTTCATTTTACCCTAATATGCCATTTGTTTTTTCACCATTCTTTCTTGAATTTTATTCCTTTCGTATTAGACAAATATATCCTTCAGATGTTTTCTTCAGTGAGGGTCAACTGGTGGTAAACACTCTTTGTGGAAACATCTTTATTGCCCCTTCAGTCTTGACAGTTTAGCTGGGCACTGGGCTTCCATTATTTTCACTCAGCATTTCGAAAATGTTATTTTACTGAAATTTTGCCTTTTTGTTGTTACTTTTGAGAACTGTGTTCACAGTTTAACTATCATGTTGTAGGTAACCTGCTTTTTTCCTTTGGTTTAAAGATCTTGTTTGTGTTTTGCAGTTTCATTACATGGTGTGGATTTGATTGTGTCCTACTGGGGGCTTACAGTGATTCCTCAATCTGAATTTTCATACCTTGCATGACTTTTTTTTTGTTTTTTTAAAGATTTTATTTATTTATTCATGAGCGACAGAGAGAGAGGCAGAGACACAGGCCGACGGAGAAGCAGGCTCCATGCAGGGAGCCTGATGTGGGACTCGATTCCGGGTCTCTAGGATCCCGGGTCTCTAGGATCCCGGGTCTCTAGGATCACGCCCTGGGCTGAAGGCGGCGCTAAACTGCTGAGCCACGCGGGCTGCCCTTTTACGACTTTTGTAAAAAATTCACTCATTCCCATTTTATTTTATTTTATTTTATCTATCTATCTATCTATTTATTTATTTATTTATTTATTTATTAAATTTATGATAGTCACAGAGAGAGAGAGAGAGGCAGAGACATAGGCAGAGGGAGAAGCAGGCTCCATGCACCAAGAGCCCGACGTGGGATTCGATCCCGGGTCTCCAGGATCGCGCCCTGGGCCAAAGGCAGGCGCTAAACCGCTGCACCACCCAGGGATCCCCTCATTCCCTTTTTAAATAGTGCTTCTCCCAGATCCCATATTTAACTTATGTTGGACTTTTTTATTCTGTCCTCTACATCTCTTATCTTTCATGATTTCTGTCTCTGTTACCTCTGGGTAATTTCTTTAAATCCATCTCCTAGGATACTAACTTACTCTTCAGCTAGAACTAATTTGTGTGTGTTTTTTAAAGGGAGGGAGAGAGAGAGAAAAAATCTTAAGCAGCCTCCATGCCCAGTGAGAAGCCTAATGCAGAGCTCAATCTCATGATCCTGAGATCATGACCTGAGCTGAAATCAAGAGTTGGATGTTTAACTGCCTGAGCCACCCAGGCGCCCCCTGATTTACTTTTTGAGTTCTTGTTTTTTTTTTTTTTATTAATTAAAAAATTTTTTTTAAGTAGGCTCCATGCCCAGCTTGGAGCTGAACACGGAGATGAACTCACACCCCTGAGATCAAGACCTGAGCTGAGATCAAGAGTAGGTCCTCAACTGACTGAGCCACCTAGGTGTCCTGAGTTCTTATTTCCATTAGCTTTTTCATTTTTAGAAGTACTCTTTGGTTCATTTTCAAATCTGCCTCTTTGTTTTCCATGGTATCATTTTTGTCTCATGTTTTCAATTTATATAACAATTTTAAATAAACTTGTAGTCTCTATCATGCAGAATTTTCTGAAGTTTTTAGGAGTATAATCCTGCCATTTGTTTTAACTGACTCTTGCCTATGATGAATTGTGTCTTCAAGTATTTAGTAGTTTTGGATTGTAAGCTCATATTCAAAGGATTATCATCTATGGTAGACTTATATAGCTTGGGTTGAGGTCAGTTCTCCAAGAACAGTTCTTTTTTTTTCCAGTTTTCTTTTAAGTAAACTTTCTTTGAAATAATTTATGTACAGTAAACTATTTAAGTAAAAAGTGTTTTGATAGATGTATACACCTATAAAAAGTTGCCACAATCAAAATATAGAGCAGTTCCATCACTCCCAAAAGTTTCTGTATGCTGCTTCTTTACAGTTCGTGTTTCCCTTCACCTTGGCTCAGGAACTAGTGTAGATGAATTTGTGTTTTCTAAAATTTCACGTAAGTCAGATCATAGAGTGTGTATTCTTAGGCCTAGTTTCTTTCACATAGCATAATGCGTTGTGAGATTTATCCATTTAGTTGCATATATCAGTAATTGGTTGCTTTCTGTTATGTAATATTCTGTTGTATGATTATATCATGTAATGTTTATTATTCAGTGTTAGTGGACATTTGGTTTGTTTCCAGTTTGTGAATAAAATTGCTATGAGCATTCATGTACAAATCTTTGAGCGTTTGTGTAATTTCCTTTATTTTCAGAGTGGACTGGCTAAGTTGTATGGCAGTTGCATGTTTAACTTTTTAAGAAATTACCAGTTTTCCAAAGTGGTGGTACCATTTTGGCAATATGTAAGAGTTCCATTTGCTTCATATTCTTTCTTTAAAAAAGAATTTATTTATTTATTTATTTATTTATTTATTTACTTATTTATTTATGGGGGGGCTTGGTGGAGGGGAGGGGCAAAGGGAGAGGGGAAAAAGAATCTCTAGCATCTCCTGGAGTGCAGGGCTCCATCTCATGACCCTGAGATCATGACCTGTGCCAAAATCAAGAGTCAGATGCTTAACAGACTGAGCCATCC